TCATGCCCTCTTATGAGGCATATTATAGTTTATTTAAAGTTTTCTGCTGGAGATATTTCAAGGTTCATGTGAAAGTAGCATCATTTAAAATGTTCCACAGTGAAAAGTTTACCATTCATCAAATTTGCAGTATAAAAATTGTCAATGCTCTTTCTATATTCATCTTTTGGGCCATCCATTCTTAAAAGTTAAAGAATTTAAGGGGAAAAAAAAGAAAAATATTCAGAATCAAATAAGCAATTGATATGTAATAGAAAATCTGACCATTCAATTTTTTTCATATATGCAGAAAAAATGTAGTCAGTTATCCAGATTTTTAGTTTACATGCCTACAAATTAAAGTCATTAACATAAAATAGGAACTGAAAGACAAGTCAATGTGTTTCTTAAATGCCCTTTTCTATTTTGCAAAGGTTCTATGAAGACCATGTTAGCAGAGATAACTTGAGAAAATAAATTCTTGGAAATGATCAGACAGTAATACAAAAATGTAAGAGGTCCTGGTTCAAAATAGATCTAAATAAGAGATGTAAAGTCTCATTTGATCTTTTGGAAGTAATTAATTCATTAAAAATTTTATCCTGGAAGAAGAAATATATTGTTAAGTGCATCAAGTTCCAACACCTGGTAACCTGATAGAGAATAGAACACTTTGGAGGAACCTTATTTCATGTTTGTCAGTTCATGCGAAAACATACCAATGACCTGCTTTATCTGATCTATCCAGCTGATTCTTTGTCAACCTCTCCTACAGTTTCCCTGTCTTCCCAAGCATGATTTTTCTTTCTAAGTCCATCATATATGTGCCTATGATGGACTAGAAAAAGAGCTTTTTTTGGCCTCATGCCAAAAAAGGCTCTCTGCTTTAGAAACATGGCCTCAAGAGACATCTCAGGTTTCATGGCTTCTAGGATTGAGATATTTGTTTTCTTTGCTGTCCATGGTATCTTTAGAAGTCTTCTCCAAACTCAGAACCCAGGCATTCAATTTCTTCTGCTCAAATTTTCTGTGTGTGTAGCTTTCATATCCATACATGACAATAGATCTTACTAGTATGATCTTGGTCTTAATGGTTACATTCTTATTCTTCTTGATGGGTTAAGAGTGTGACATTACTTTCTTTCCTAGCAAGACTCTTCTCTTAAGCTCCTCTGTGCATCTTCTATCTCTGGTGACTATGACTCCAAGTAATACAAACCTGTCCACAACTTTGATTGTTTCACTGTCAATCTTAAAACTGTCAAGTGGTTCTGTTGATATTACTTATGTCTTCTTTATGTTCAATAATAATCCAAATTTTTACTTTCATCCCTGATACACTTTACTAGATAAGTTAAATATTTTTTGTTTTTAGTATGGTAATGTCCTCAGCATATCATAAGTTATTAATGATTTGTCCTCTTATCTTCACATCCACTGTTTCCTCCTTTAAATTAATTACGTAACCAATTTGGCTTTAGAGGTAAGCGTTAGGCACTATCTCTTATTAACATTAATAAAGCAGGAGTTGTGGGTTCGAGTCCCACTCCGAGCCGATTTTTTCTCCCAGCGGTTCTAAATTATTTAAATTAATTAATTTATTCCTCCTTTAATCCTATCCATCTCATTATGTATTCTCTGTAGAGATGAACAGATAGGAGGACAGAATACATCCCTGTTGGACATCCTTCTCAATATGACACTAATCGATTTCACCAGCCTCTGTTCTTATCATGGCCTCTTGTTCCATATATAATTTTTTTGCAAGACTACAATGTGTGCTGGTACTTCCAATGTTCTGAGTACCATCCAAAGGATTGAGTGATTAACAGAGTCAAATACCTTGCTATAATCAATAAAACAGAAATAAATATGTTTTTAAAATTTTTTGGCTTCTATTATTCTTCTAATGTTAAAAATTTGGTACCTTCACCACATTGGAAGCCAGTTTATATCTCAGGCATTTCAAAATTGGTTCAAACTTCTTTTGAATAATTTTTAATAGAACCTTGCTGGCATGAGAGATTGGGGTAATGATTCGGTTGTTAACACAATTTCTTGGATCTCCTTTTTTTTGAGAAAAGGAATGATCGTTTTCAAACCTCTTGTCATTTACACTAATGACACAGGCTAGTCAAAGCATTAAGAACCTCCTCACCAGTCTCCTGAAATAGTTTGATAGGGAGACCATCACAGCCAGAAAACTTTCTCCTTGGAAGCTGGCCCAATGCCTATCTAACTTTGTCACTGTTGATTCAGAGCTGTACTTGTGAAAGGTAAAAAAAATCTGGATGATCAAATTATGTTTATATAAGTTCTCAATATATTCTTTTCATATGGCTTTGATTTCATTTACTTCTGTTAAATTAGCCCCATCACAACCTTGAATGATACCTAACCTCAGCTCAGATCTGCTGGTTATAGACTTGATGCATTGAAACAGTTCTCCCACACATTCCTTTCTTGCAAGGCATTGCATTCTTGCTGGAGGAAGCTTTCTTTATCTTTCCTAATATGTTGCTGGAATTCTCTGTTTAAGCGACGTACCTCTGATTTGTTCTTCTGAAATTTCATATTTCTTCTTTGTTCTGCGATTTTCAGAGTTTTGACAGTCAGTCATCTGGATCTACTTTTCCTCTTATGTTTAGGGATCTTGTCTTTTATTTCCTCTAGTACAACTTTGCATATATCCTCCCACAAACCCTCAGATGTTCTGTCCATTTTGTTCAAGGCTGAAAATCTGTTCTCCAGTGCAATGGAGAAGTCATTGGATATGGCATCTAAGTTAAATCTTATGGGTTTGTTTGGAACAACTGCTCTTCTTAATTTGATGCACATTCTAGTAATCAATAGTTCATGATTTGTTCCACAGTCACTGCCTGAAAGTATCTTTGCCTCTTGGATAACACTTCTCCATCGCCTGCTTGCAATAATGTAGCCAATTTGATTTTTGTATAATCCATCCATGTAAAAAGTCTGCAACTGTGATTTTGTTGGCAATGAAGAGAGTTTTCTACACAGAACATTACCAGGCAGTCTCCAGCTGCATTCTTTGTTCCTAGCCAAAAATGCCTGTTATTCCCTTTGTCTTCAGATTGCCCACTTTATCATTCCATTCTTCTGTGATGAAAAGCATGTCACTTTTGTGAGTGGTAGTGATGGTGTTCTGTAAGGCTTCATAGAATTCTTCTATTTCTTCCTCTTCTGAATCAGTTGTTAAGGCATATACCTGTAAAATAGTGATGTTAACAGGACAGCCCGAATTCTGATAGCCATTCCATTGCTGTAATTTGAATTTGAAGATTATTAACTGTTCTTTCAATCTGAAGAAGACGAAAATAGTTTCGTTTAAAGCGCTAGTTGTTTGTAGCGATAGCTGTAGGTTGTTGATGATTGATAATTTTCTCAACTTTACTTATTCTGATAGCAATAATCCTCTCATTTACTGGGCAGTAACCTAGCGATTCTTCTGGACAGGTCAATCGTCACCCAATTTTTCCTCTTGCTCTATGTCCAGAATAGTAAACAGTGTGATTCCCTGAGAGAAAATAGCCATGCCTGTCCATCTAAAGCTTGCCCCAGAATATAAATCCCATTTCTCTCCATTTCATGCTTCAACATCTCAAGTTTGCCCTGTGTTATGCTTCTTACATTCCAGGTTCCGACACCGAGTGTGTTCTTTATAAAGCTTGGGACAGTTCCTGTAACTCTTGTTTTCTCTGCTATTGGATGTTCATTTATTTGACTTTAAAGTCAAATGAACATCCAACAGATTAGAGTTGCTATTTGTTTGTCCTTTGCTCTTCCCCAGTAGCCAGTGAGCTGCTTTCCAACCTAGGGTCTCATCATCCAGCAGTATGTCACATCTGAAACATTTATTATTTTTCATCAGGTTTTCTTGGCAAGGTTTCAAAAGTAGTTTGCCACTGCCTTTTGACCATGTACCACATTCATCTTCAGGAAGAAGTTTTCCAAGGGTAAGGATGGAGGTGTGATTACATGGATTTTGAAAATGTTGGCCAGTCGGACTTCCTTAAAATCCCCTTAGGGTAATATCAAGTCCATCAGTGTTTTTGACAGGAGAGAGCCTAAAAACCAACATTCCCATATCCATATAAACAGTATATAATTTCCATAAAAGTAATGTTTTACGTTTGGAATTATTATTTATACAAACATATATATATCAATGTAAATCAATTGGTATTAATCAATCAATTTTAATTTGCTAAACGTAAACTAGTAAAATGTTTTAAATGTTTGTGTTTTTATTTTAAAATTGTCAAAAATATTAAAATAAACTGAATTAGTCAACAATTCAAAACTTGAAGTTTTAATCCCATCAATTTTTTTATGTTCTCATCATAGAAGCTAATTTGTTTGTTTAAGAAATAATTATTCACTATAGTCTATGGCTTTAGTATAATTAAAAATAATAAAATGTAATTATAATAATATGTAATTATATAACATTAATGATTAGGATTTGATATCAATGCTGCTTCCATTAACTCAACATTGATAATCTTCAAGATTATTTCTTTTAATACTAGAGCTATTCTATGATATTTTAAATTAATTAAGAAATTAATATAAATGCTGCAAAAATACATACAATTGTGCCATCATATATAATTAAACTGTCATTTTTTGTGGATATTTAAAATTAAAATTAGGAATATAATATAATTTTAAAGTAAATTGTATTCATTAATTTATTAATTTATATTAATGAACACAATTTATTTTAGAAATCTTTAAAAATAGAAATCAGATTAGATTACAAATCTTTAAAAATAAATTTCTGAAATCTCATTTTTTACTACCAAGATATATTATAATTAATTAATTTTGTTACTACATATATATAGTAACATTTTTTTTAAAAACTAACACCATTATTATTCTTAAACTACTTTTACATCTCATTATTATTAAAAAACTTAATAATACATAATTTGTCAAGTATTAAATGTAGCCAATATTCTAACATTTTTTTAATAACTATCAATTTAACTAACCTTCTAAATTTGCCATGGAAAAACGATAGCTGTCCATCCGAGGAGTCGGCATAGCAAGTTTTTCGGAGCCACATCCTTTCGTCATGGACCCAATGTTGTCTAATCCCTAAAATTTAAATAAAAATATTTCAATACAAGTTTGGTACATTATAAAATTTAATTCTGTAATAAAAATGTATAAACAGAAAAGTGCTGACTGATTATGTAATAAGAATGAATAATTTGTTTAATGTTTAAAACAAAACTCATGAATTTTAAATTCTAAACAATGTAAGTGTTATAAACAGTTAATAATAATAATAATATAAAAACATTCATAACAAAAATACTTATATGTTTTTTATTATTAACAATATGACATAAATCTATCAGAATAAAAAATTTTGCATAACAATAAAAAAATTTCAAAAATCTATAATTATCTAGAATAGAAAAACATCTTTTATTAATTTAACCAGATAACAAAACACTATATGAACGTTGCTTCTTTGTAAAAATTTCTCTATATTTCAACAGAAATAAATAAACTTTGCTTTAAGCATTATTCGAAAATTAAATCCACCATAAATTTATTTTTATAACCAAAACTATGGTAAGTTTAATCATTTAATTTATATTAGTTTTTTTTTTATTTAAAAAAAATTCAAATTCAAAGAACTGTAGAAGAACATCTGTGCTAGACCCAGTTTAGAATAAAAACAGCGTCTAGCTATAAGCTCATACTGTGGTTTAAACTTCGATTGTAAAGACGCAAATCGTCGATCTTTGAACCTGATCTAAACGAACTTCGGAGAAATTTTGGCTATTACATTTATTGCCGTTACTCCCAGCTTTTAATCACTGGTAAACCAATCGGATGAATCATTTCGTTACGTCACAAAAATGACGTAAAAGTCTGAAAGTGTCGAAACTTCACAAAAGTGTTTTCGACAATTTCTTCGATGATCGGATTTCTCCGAATTATAAATGTTAAATAACTAAACAAAATTCATAAACCATTTACGGTTTTCTCAAGAAAAAATTCTTAGCCTGACTTTGGATTATTTTAATTCCATTTTAAAAATCGTCAAACAATTGATAACTGCTGTTTTATAGTTAATAAGCCGATATTTTTCCACCAAAATGTTTAATTTTGTATCCAATTCGATTTAAAATATACATAAAATCTGTATTGAATTAAAAAATCCTGATCAGTATATAATTCTAAAGCAGTGATTCCCAAACATAAGGTCACCAATTATTTTATGGAATCGCGTAAATTCTAAATTCTTTTTTTTTATAATTTAATATTTTTTAAACGTTGTTGTCCTTCTAAAAATATTTTTAAAAACCTAATAAAGAATTCAAACCTAATGCAACGAATTTTGTTTCAAGTGACAATATCATGGCTTATTAAAAAGCGCCCAGGACTAACAACATTCTACTCCCATAAAGTTTTATTGTTTTATAACTTTAACAGTTTTCTTGTTCGTTTAAAAGACGCCTCTAACTGATTTAAATAAATTGTTTTATTATTTCTGTTTTGTAAAATCTGTCACCATCACGATACAATATTTTCTCCAAAGAGAAAGGCGTCTGGTAAAAAACATAAAAGACATACTGTACAACTTTCTCCACGCAACTAACCAAGTTCCAACGTAAATGCTGATATTCTAAAATTTTATTTAGGCTAGTTAATAATGATCAATTAAACTAAAATTTTATTTTAGTATTATTTCGATTTTGGACTATTCTTTCGTTTCATAGCTGTCGAGACGAATATCATCTGTGAATCCGTTAATAAATATCTATAACACAAACGCGATATCAATTCATAATTAACACCTAAATAAGGACTAGTTTCCCATAAAAGATCTCCTGGGAGGCACTCCCACCCGGCAAATCGCCCATGTGTCGCGTTGCCGTTTAACAATAAAACCAAAGCACCCATTCTTAATCAAATTCTTGAAAACAACGGAAGAAACAAAACAGCGACGATTTCCATTCTTGAAACGAGATGAAAAAGAAATGTGCTATGTAGGAATCTAGACTTGCCAATAGTAAGAAATTTGTCTAGAAACCAGTATTCAAAGTTTTTGAATGGCGGGCCAAATCGCGCATAAATCGTAAGCAGGCGGCCAGAAATCTTTCTCATATTTATATATACTAAAATTAAGCATATTGCTAAAGACTTAGCACTTATAGTATATTGCTATAAGTGCTAAGTCTAATGCTTTCGTGAGCCAGATTAACTTGTGCTGCGACTGAGACTTGACCAGGGGAGACGTAGTTTCGGTACCGGTGGTCTAACCGATATCTAAGAAATGTCGCTCTTCCAATGCGATTTTTCGTAATCCGTGGTTTTAATGGTCGAGGGCCTCGAGCCCGTTTCTGCAAACTACTCAATGTGTTCTTAGAGATTTCATACTTAAGTGTATGTTAAATATTTAGTATTTAACATACTTACACTGGTTTAAATATTAACAAATCTGACAACCCAATTATGCATTTATAATTTTTAAAGCTCTCTCACAAAAATAAACCTTTTTCAGTGTTTCTCCATAGATTAAAAAAAGTTATTTTGTATTTATTAATTCTCAAACTCTTAGTTCATAAACTTCTGGCAGCAATTTTGCCAAAATTACAATCGTGCTATAATTCAAAGGATCATTATTAAAAATCACAAGCCGATATTTTTAGATTTTTATACAAAAATAAACATATATTATACCAACACTTTTTAGATTTTAGTTGTTATATTTCACTGTACTTTTCAAAATCTAAAATTACAAATAAACAAACAATAGTGCCAAATAGTTAAATTAAATCTCCATTATTCTCAAATTACCGATCTCAGCAAAATATACAGAATAATTAAAAATTTATTAGTCCCAAAATACAAATATTTAATACAGAATTTAAATGCAATTTTGTTCACATCTAACCAGCAACGGATCCAGAAGTACTCAAAGGGGCTAACTCAAAAATAGTTGAATAATTAATAAGTACCTTTTATTAACGCGTGCACGACCGATTGCATTGCGGACGATCCGACAAACCTATTTGTCATTATAAATGCATTTAAAAACAACGTTTTGATGTTCGAACAAATACATTTTAATTTCATTTTATGTCGATGGAAGAGCTTAAGCCCCTGTAGTTCTCCCCTTGGATCTGCCACTGCATCTAATATTCTTTTAACTTTCTTTCATTATCCAAAATAAATACCTAAAGAAAGACTTAATCTTTTACAGAAGCTCAATAATAAAAATTTCACAAAGTTACAGAGATCCAGAACAATTTTATTCAAATATAATTCTAGTTTAGCACTAAAAACACCAATCATTATACTCTTCAACAGAATTTTCAGATTGCCACTCAGTAAGCACTGAAATCAAAAACATTATCAAAGTAGAGCTTTTGAATCTGTTAACAACCTTCGTACCGTTTTACATCTTTAAAGAAAGTCAAGTTTATATATAGTAGCCTTTCCCGTTCTTGAACTAGGACAGGCAATCCAAATTAATATTCTAGTGTATTTTTGCATTAATTCTGAAATGAATAAAAATTCTTTTGGGAGAATAGGTAACTTTAATTCTCAAATAGTTATTCAGTCTTACTGAATGATAGTCCAATCATTAGACAAAATATTATTATAATAATAATAAATTCTGAATGCGGGATTGGAGAGAGACTTATTCGGTCGAATAAGTAAGCAAATTAATCGCCAAACTAGTGACAGAAAAACGATCGATCAAAAGACATAGGGACGAAAGCAACGACTAAAAATAACGTGCAAAGAGTAAACTTCGAATTCGTTATACACTGGATGCGTTATATTTTAAGTCATAACTTCACTTTATTCAGGAAACGTCTTTAATAAGTTACTATAAATATCATAACGGACAAATATCACTCTTCCAAGAAACAGTAAGAATGATATATTTCCCAATATTGTTCCAAGTTAAAAAAAAAACGGAGACAAAGAAAACAATTTCTCTGGCGATTCGTAATGAAACAATATATCGGAACGCAAAAGTATACCAGTGTCGACTGGAACACTTCCAAGTCACGCGATCGCCTCCAAAGGTTTCGCCAAAGCATTCATTAATGAAAATCTATAGAAGTAAAGATAGATGGACGACATCCGCTACATCCGAAATAAGGTTCCGGCACGAAACGGTCAATGTAAGCAAGCCACTAGCCTAGCTATAATTGCAAATGCTAGTTTAGAACCCCTGCGAAGCCAAGCACTACTTTCCCTAACCTCCCAAAGATTTAACCCATTTCATCCTTGGACTCGTCTATCCTCTATTCGTGTCTTCTCGGTTAACCGCCCTCACCGACTCTTCTAATTTTACACGCTTCGGGAGCAGCGCCCCGCATTTCCCTTCTGACAAAAACACCCTCTACGCACCCGACGACCTCTAAACTGTCTTTTAACGCCCAGCCAATCTCCGTAAAAGGGAAAGAAAAAAGGCGCACACCCTTGACTCGGACATTGGATTCACCCATCAAATGAATGAACTTAAGGACATGGAAGTGGTCCTAAGAGACAAGAAAATCAACAAAGATACTCGAAGAGGAACTTGTCGTTGTATGACATCGGAGCCACGTGGCCAACATTCACTAACTTCTATTTATTATTCTCAGAATCTGTAAACATATTACAGATTCCAAAAAGGATAAACACGAATTCTCCTAGTAATCGGAAACGGATGCCAGCACGCGTCAGAGACCCATCCCTTCGAAAGAATTAAGATACTGCTCTCATCAATTTTTATTAAGACATGCCATGTTCGCATCGACTCTATAGATCTAGTCCTCCTATATTTTTTTCTCGCGTGATGCTAACGTCCCAAATGGGAATCCTACTTACGTGAAACGTGACCGGAAGGTCTCTCGTCCGTCCCCCGACCGGATTCGGAGCATCGATCCTAACGCGCGGCCTGCATCGCGACCTCCCCGGTTCCGTTCCGCTATTGGACCGAGGCGGGGGTGACGTCATTCCACCGCAGTCGCGTCGCTACACACTAACGTCCGAAAGGACCGCGAAAAAAAGAGGTAGATCGGATACGGATAAGGTTCGCCCCCATAGACGGTTCGGGGGAAGTAAGACCAGGTGAACTCAAACACGTGATACCAACAAACACCTGCTCGGTTCGCAGCTGCGCCGCACCACCTGCTCCGCATCAAAAACGAGAAGATTAGTTTCTGGCCCAATCCACGCTTCCTACTCGATCGCTATTCATATATGGTACACGCTCAACACTGACCATTTCTCGAACTAATAGACGCCGCAGCGCTAAGCGCAGGATGGCAAGCACTAAGTCCACGAACCGCACGGCACAGATCGGATATCAGCAAAAAAAAACTATAAAGGAACATTTGGTAGTTATCATTATACAGCATCCGTATCTGATCTATTAAACTCGAGGTCTAATCGTATACTGTTGTGAATACGATGAGAATGAATACAAATAATATAGTAATGAAGTCGAAACGGTAATTTAGAATGTTAACTTTGCCTAGATAGATAGCTTTTCTGCAGCATTTCGTACTGGCTAGAAAACTCAGAGAAAGAAAAAGCCTCTCCTCCTCCCAATACGATCGAACGCCATTTGTATTATCATGGCGACCGAGACAGGCGCGAATGTCCGATATAGCACCTCGGGAGCCGTAAAAATCGATAAATGACCTTACTTCGGCGTCGTCTTCTACGTCGATTCCGGGGTCATCGTCGTCGCTGGTAAACGAACCGCCGGATTCCATCCTATTTCTGTTCCAGGCCGAGCACGGCTCGTTCCTCCCAACACCCACCACCCTCGGTAAGCCCAAATTTAAACGGGGGATGGCCGGAGGGTCGCCGACGAAGTACGGCGGACGGCCCGGAAAGGCCTTTATCTATAGATGCAAGATCGGATTGGAAACTCTGGTGTATCGCTGTCAAAGATACGATGAAAGGCCGATTGGGCCGGTTGGGGGTCCGCAAGTACCCTTTAGCGTCGGCCTCACCCCGGAAAATAGGTCGCGTCGACCGCGACGGCAGATGCGGACTGGTTCATTCCGAGCTGTGGCGAGCGGGCAGAGCGGAGGGCGAGCGCCACCAGATGCTACACCAGAGCGCATCGATGAATGAAACGAACTACTAAAAAGTTAAATCTGGCCGTCGAGTCATCGTTCCGGGACGTGTAGCTGCACTTTTTCCGTCGTTGATCGGGATTAATTCTTTCTACCGGAAACACCTGTCTATGTTTACTAGAGAGAAATTCAAAATTACTTTATAGGCATATTATATGCAAAAAAAACAAGAATAAATAACAAAATAATAATTATGAACGAGGTCAGCGAGAATGCAACTTGCAGTATCGATCTGTGAAAACCAACTTTCGAGGCCGAATGGAGATACGTAAACTGTGGAAACGGGCCAAGTTCTCGACCGACAGACTCGCCGCTAACTTATAGGGAGCTTTATAGTGAAATCGAACAAACTCGGTAGAATTAACCGTCTCATCTATTCCATTAACCCGCAACATGGGCCTTAAATAATATCAATCAGTCACCTACAACGGATAATCGCCTGAAACGATATTTTTCTTATCCGATCTAGTTTATAGCATTGATATTAATTCACTAGAGATTGGCTATCTTCCAAACCATCTCCCGCAGATCTGCGAAAAGTGAAATCTTAAACAAACTAAAATCTTCGTTAAATAAATCGACAATGGGCGTAACAAGGAATTAACAATCGATAATTTCAAACTGGAAAAAAAAACCACACCTGAACGACTATCCATCAATTTAAAGAAAGAATAGTTGCACAGCAAGACTAGGGCTTTTCTACGGTAGCAGTACTTTCTCCAGTTACAGCACTGCCATAACATCTCCGGTCCGCTTTAGAAGACGAACGAGAAAACGTATCGGCCGATGCCATTAAATTACTCACTTCCTCTATTTCAGACGCCTTTCCTATTTGCGCTGGGAACATTGATTCGATAATTTCATCATAAAACCAAAACTGCAATCGAGAAAAACGGGAAGCCTAATTCCCATATTCCCTTTTCTCCAATAAATTCGTATTTAAATGTCGCTACTGCAGAACACTCCGAGACTAATGCTTGGCCAATTTATATGGAACAAAGCCAAGTCTATTGACAGATGAACTAAGACAACCCAATCTCCTTAATAACAAAAGGACAAGAGTCGAATATAAGTAATGTAAAGAGAAAAGGATCCCAACGAAATAGTAAAAATACTACTCGGTTGTGGACGATATATCAGAATCCTCTGTAACGGATGAAAGAAGGCACAAGCTATGGCCCAAGATATCTGCAATGGATGAGTACAACAATCTAAGATTAAAAAGCATGTGAACCAGCTGTTCCAGACCAGTTCATTTCGTAACATTTTAACGAAAATGACAGGACGCAACAATCGAATAATTGAAAATAAGATGAAAGTGAATATCAGGCTATTTTCTTTATGTATATGTATAGCTTGTATTTTCGTCAGGATAAAACCTAACGAAAATACGAAAACGAAAAGTCAATCAAGCTGAAATTTATTTATCATTGTTATTTACATAATCTTAGCTAATATTTTCTTCGTCGTATCAAAATCATTGTAATAGAAAACTTTCAAATTTGATTTACTCTCCAAAATATCTTCTTTTGTAATCTAATCAAGTAATCCCATAGATTTTATACTTTACGCGAGTCTAAATTTTTTTTAACGGCAGATGCCATCTCTATCTCGAACTCGAACTATCGTCGTCCAAACCACCTGTCCCTCATCCGAGGCAGATGGCACTCGGGTAAATGTCGGCACCTGGACCATCTGCCATCCCTAAAAATCACAACTCGAATTTTAAACATCTCCAGCAGTTCTTTAAAACATTTAGGACCGCTGGATTCAAGTCTTCCCGATCAAGAAGACGCGACGAAAAACAAAAACAGAATAAATAATAAACTTACCGCCAGATCATACGGAGAGGAAAGAGACCTGCTCCAGCTATCCGTGGCGCACAATCGAAAGCACATGCTGACGTACTTCCTACTGCCAATCGACTGGCGAAATAAACCAGAAGAAGATTATATATGAGGAGCCGCCAGGTGGTAAATCGAGGACAGGTGGATAAGAACCACTCGTCCGAATCGGATCCCCGGCAGGACTAGCTCCGCCTGGGGCTACGTTCTCTAATCGGCACGTGCCGCTTCGCGTGGCCGACGCCACCCCTCGAAGAAGAAACAGCGATACGATGCCAAGGCGAAGAGGCGCATGTCACTTTCCTCATCGATCCGATAGGCAGATGCTTTTTAATTGCTGTCCAAACTCGAGTCGATTCAATATAGAAACTTTCGACCAATCATCTATTTATCTCAAGAATGCCGACGATTAAAAACTGCCTTGCACTTTCTACATTTCATATGAAAAAATATAGCTTAACTTCTCCATTACGAATAGAATTATTCCATTAGAGGCAATAAATCATTACCGAATTATTCGACGAGAAACAACCGTTTATTAACATTCAAATTCTCTACATTTGACGATTAACGATAAGAGAACTCGATTAATATAGCTCCAATTAAACTTTTCGTGTCTTTCAATTCAATAGTTATATATATATATATAGGGATAATCGAAACGCAAAAAATATTATTAAACAAAACAACTTTTTCGGGTGGCTGTCGGGTGGAGTTTGTCATAAACCAGCTTATCAACGATAGACTCCTCTGTGACGGTGTGCATGCATAAATAGTTCTGTCAAGAATGAACAGTAGAGGTTTACCCGCATATTCAGAATCTCTGGGAGAAAAGAGGTCATTAAAGCCGAGATAAAATGCTCAGTTTCGCAAAATAATGCACTGAGAAAAAAAATTTGCATGGATAAATAATTTGCTATAGTTAGAATCGCCCAAAGACGATAAATTGTAAAATTTATCAAACATAAAATTTAAAAATTAATGAAAAACATTCTTACACTTTATAACTGCTTCCTCTTTCTTAGAAGTTTCGCCTTTGTCAGAAAATATCGAAATGCGAAGTCAGTCAGGAGGTGGAGAATCATCTGAATATTTTAATTGCCCAGAGTGAAGACTGACTTTCATCGACATAATGTACATTCTCCTCTATTTAGAGTCATTTATTAATCAAGAAAGTTGTTAAAGTATGAAGTTATTTTAATTCATTGTTATTCTGTCATTGTCCTCACTCTAATTATTTGAAAATTTTAGTAGTGTCCACTATGTTGTTTTGTAGTCATGCTACGCAAAAAAGGATGCAAAATAAATTGAAATAATCAAAATATGAAGATTTCATATCATATTTCAGATTGTTATATTAATCGTCCTATAATAAATTTACATATTATAAAAACACACAAATTATTAATGATGAAACCAAGTTAAAAATTGATTTTGTTGTGTCTTATATATTTAAACGTTATGCACAAAATAATTAACTTTAAGTAGTCTACTTAAGCTGCAAATAAATACAGTATTGTTTGTTATCTATCAACAATAACGAATAGATAGTTTCCTTGTACCGAAGAAATTAAAAATTGCATATTAAAATGTTTTAAAATTTATAATTACGTAAAGTAATCGCTATAAAGTACGAGTATATAAAAAATTTCCAAGTTATATCAGAAGAAAATAATTAGCAGAATAGACGGTACAGTTATTGAATCGGAAGTAACTTTTCAACTTTACCATCATTTTGATTTACATGACGACTTTATAAATGCTTGTAGCATAAATTTGTTTTAAGGATGATGTTGGTCGATGAAATGTCTGCAATGTGCGATTTGTTAACTAAAAAAAGTTATAATCATAAACGCAAAAATTCTCTAAAATTAATACTGCTTGATTTATTTTTAATTTTTCACTTCAATAATTTTAACTCGACAATCTACAGTCAATTTCTGTAAGTTTTCAGATAATTTTGTTAAAAACAGCGCTGTTCTATACCTAAGAGGATTTTTGGAGTAATTTCCTCATGAATCTGTTTATCACTACTTTCATAAAATTATCAATTTTCATGTACTCTGATAAACAGTTTTACTATCAAATCATCGCAATAGAAAAAAAAATGATAAATCGTGTGCTGAAAAAAATACAAGATATTTAACAATAGACATTGCAGATTTAAAAAAAATACAAATTCTACAGAAAAAAAAAAATTAATAAATTAACTAATAATGAAATATTGTTGCCAGACAAGACACTCAAATACGTCATACTATCAGCTTTGTTACGTTCACGTCGCTGCTGCCATCTGCAAACCAATTTCGCAACTACGGCAACAATTCCATATAAAAACTAATTATAACAATTTCAAAATAATAAAAATAAAATATTCTCTATAAATTAAGAATAATAATTATAAATATAAAACATTAAAGCCTCTATGCGTTTAAATGATGTGTGATTAAACATTTAAAAAAAAAACCTATTAATTCAATGAAAAATAATAAATAAATAATAAAATTTTATCAATTTAGTAATAATACTAGTATGGAAAAAATTCTTATTATATAGAAATATAATTTTAGATAATTTTTCATTCATTACTTAGCAAAACTTTCATCTTATACATATATTTATACATCACTATTAACTTTAATATTTAACTTATGTATATATTTAATTTTAAATTCTAGTTAACTATTATTAAAATAATGTATATATTAAATCTATAAATTGCAATAATTCTTAACATCTCAAACTTTAATTACTACAGTCAAATCCACTTAAGAGAGCATCTTAGATATTGTTACATCATGCTCCTTTATCGAAAGTAATATTATCATATAATTTTACTTTTGATAATTGGTTCACAAACAGAATTTTGAACTTGAAATTAACTGGTTGCCGTATGATAGCCCAGTTTCCAAACAAGCTACTAGGAAAGAGCCTGTTACTGATTAGACACACAGATGGTCAACTCCCTATACTTCCTATGTTAAAGAAAGTCGACGGCCCCGACCAATCAACAACAGGACTACCGATGTGTGTCTAATAAAACTAATATGTTTGTTATGATTCTGTGAGAAATCTTTTGATTGCTAATTTATTAGAAAACTAACCAATGCTAAGATTTCACCAAACTCAACAAATATTGTCTAGAGATCCTGTTGCCATGTGCCCTGGATGTCTAGTCTGAACTTATGTAAGCAGCAAATATGCTGAATTTACCCACAAAGAAGACCCAAGCAATTTAAAATTTTTTGTGGTCCTTTGCAACAAAAAATAAAAAGGCAGAAGAATTATACTCATTAATATATAGTTTATTACTTAGTTTATCATGCATGTTACAATTACTTCCAATTCTCAGCTGCAAACTGCTCAATCACATCATCAAAAGACAGTTTCTGTAATTTATCATTTTCAATAAATATAAGGCTTAAATTTGATAGCTCTCTTGCTTTAATGTTGTACATAAATAATTTTTTACATGCTTCACTGTGTTGAAGGACCTTTCACCTGAACAGTTTTTAATTGGTAACATTAAAAATAATCACACAATGCTTTCCAACAAAAATTTTGTCTACATTGTCTTCATAACTCAACAAGAAAATTAAAAAACATAAATAAATAAAGGAGGGAGGGTTCTTGATGGGATCCCAAACAGTCACTTGTTTTGCTTCCTGATAAATCTGCCATTAAGTAGCAATACAAATGTGTTGGGAATTTCATGTGTCTCACCCAGCAAATGATGTAGCTGAAAAATTGGTACCACAAGATATTCTCAACATGTTGAGAATATCAAGGAGTACAAGTCAACAACAACAGTCCACTGGACAAGGGAGCAGTCAACTGCTCCCTTGTCCAGTGGACTGTTGAAGATTGATCCAAAATTTGAGTTGAGATTGATCCAAAAATTTAATTTTGGATCAATCTCAACTTCAAAAAGTAGATTACAGATTCCAGAAATATAAACTTTAAAAAAATTTTCCTCATCGTAAAATAATCAACAAAACAATTATGGTTATCATTTTAAATAAAATAAATCTATATATAATCAAGACGAGTTGATAATGATAATAATAATGATAATAATAATAATAATAAGCGCAGAGCCCAAACAGTTAGGAGTTGAAAGTTGAAATTTGNACATCTCATTATTATTAAAAAACTTAATAATACATAATTTGTCAAGTATTAAATGTAGCCAATATTCTAACATTTTTTTAATAACTATCAATTTAACTAACCTTCTAAATTTGCCATGGAAAAACGATAGCTGTCCATCCGAGGAGTCGGCATAGCAAGTTTTTCGGAGCCACATCCTTTCGTCATGGACCCAATGTTGTCTAATCCCTAAAATTTAAATAAAAATATTTCAATACAAGTTTGGTACATTATAAAATTTAATTCTGTAATAAAAATGTATAAACAGAAAAGTGCTGACTGATTATGTAATAAGAATGAATAATTTGTTTAATGTTTAAAACAAAACTCATGAATTTTAAATTCTAAACAATGTAAGTGTTATAAACAGTTAATAATAATAATAATATAAAAACATTCATAACAAAAATACTTATATGTTTTTTATTATTAACAATATGACATAAATCTATCAGAATAAAAAATTTTGCATAACAATAAAAAAATTTCAAAAATCTATAATTATCTAGAATAGAAAAACATCTTTTATTAATTTAACCAGATAACAAAACACTATATGAACGTTGCTTCTTTGTAAAAATTTCTCTATATTTCAACAGAAATAAATAAACTTTGCTTTAAGCATTATTCGAAAATTAAATCCACCATAAATTTATTTTTATAACCAAAACTATGGTAAGTTTAATCATTTAATTTATATTAGTTTTTTTTTTATTTAAAAAAAATTCAAATTCAAAGAACTGTAGAAGAACATCTGTGCTAGACCCAGTTTAGAATAAAAACAGCGTCTAGCTATAAGCTCATACTGTGGTTTAAACTTCGATTGTAAAGACGCAAATCGTCGATCTTTGAACCTGATCTAAACGAACTTCGGAGAAATTTTGGCTATTACATTTATTGCCGTTACTCCCAGCTTTTAATCACTGGTAAACCAATCGGATGAATCATTTCGTTACGTCACAAAAATGACGTAAAAGTCTGAAAGTGTCGAAACTTCACAAAAGTGTTTTCGACAATTTCTTCGATGATCGGATTTCTCCGAATTATAAATGTTAAATAGCTAAACAAAATTCATAAACCATTTACGGTTTTCTCAAGAAAAAATTCTTAGCCTGACTTTGGATTATTTTAATTCCATTTTAAAAATCGTCAAACAATTGATAACTGCTGTTTTATAGTTAATAAGCCGATATTTTTCCACCAAAATGTTTAATTTTGTATCCAATTCGATTTAAAATATACATAAAATCTGTATTGAATTAAAAAATCCTGATCAGTATATAATTCTAAAGCAGTGATTCCCAAACATAAGGTCACCAATTATTTTATGGAATCGCGTAAATTCTAAATTCTTTTTTTTTATAATTTAATATTTTTTAAACGTTGTTGTCCTTCTAAAAATATTTTTAAAAACCTAATAAAGAATTCAAACCTAATGCAACGAATTTTGTTTCAAGTGACAATATCATGGCTTATTAAAAAGCGCCCAGGACTAACAACATTCTACTCCCATAAAGTTTTATTGTTTTATAACTTTAACAGTTTTCTTGTTCGTTTAAAAGACGCCTCTAACTGATTTAAATAAATTGTTTTATTATTTCTGTTTTGTAAAATCTGTCACCATCACGATACAATATTTTCTCCAAAGAGAAAGGCGTCTGGTAAAAAACATAAAAGACATACTGTACAACTTTCTCCACGCAACTAACCAAGTTCCAACGTAAATGCTGATATTCTAAAATTTTATTTAGGCTAGTTAATAATGATCAATTAAACTAAAATTTTATTTTAGTATTATTTCGATTTTGGACTATTCTTTCGTTTCATAGCTGTCGAGACGAATATCATCTGTGAATCCGTTAATAAATATCTATAACACAAACGCGATATCAATTCATAATTAACACCTAAATAAGGACTAGTTTCCCATAAAAGATCTCCTGGGAGGCACTCCCACCCGGCAAATCGCCCATGTGTCGCGTTGCCGTTTAACAATAAAACCAAAGCACCCATTCTTAATCAAATTCTTGAAAACAACGGAAGAAACAAAACAGCGACGATTTCCATTCTTGAAACGAGATGAAAAAGAAATGTGCTATGTAGGAATCTAGACTTGCCAATAGTAAGAAATTTGTCTAGAAACCAGTATTCAAAGTTTTTGAATGGCGGGCCAAATCGCGCATAAATCGTAAGCAGGCGGCCAGAAATCTTTCGCATATTTATATATACTAAAAGTAAGAATATTGCTAAAGACTTAGCACTTATAGCATATTGCTATAAGTGCTAAGTCTAATGCTTTCGTGAGCCAGATTAACTTGTGCTGCGACTGAGACTTGACCAGGGGAGACGTAGTTTCGGTACCGGTGGTCTAACCGATATCTAAGAAATGTCGCTCTTCCAATGCGATTTTTCGTAATCCGTGGTTTTAAATAATGGTCGAGGGCCTCGAGCCCGTTTCTGCAAACTACTCAATGTGTTCTTAGAGATTTCATACTTAAGTGTATGTTAAATATTTAGTATTTAACATACTTACACTGGTTTAAATATTAACAAATCTGACAACCCAATTATGCATTTATAATTTTTAAAGCTCTCTCACAAAAAAAAACCTTTTTCAGTGTTTCTCCATAGATTAAAAAAAGTTATTTTGTATTTATTAATTCTCAAACTCTTAGTTCATAAACTTCTGGCAGCAATTTTGCCAAAATTACAATCGTGCAATAATTCAAAGGATCATTATTAAAAATCACAAGCCGATATTTTTAGATTTTTATACAAAAATAAACATATATTATACCAACACTTTTTAGATTTTAGTTGTTATATTTCACTGTACTTTTCAAAATCTAAAATTACAAATAAACAAACAATAGTGCCAAATAGTTAAATTAAATCTCCATTATTCTCAAATTACCGATCTCAGCAAAATATACAGAATAATTAAAAATTTATTAGTCCCAAAATACAAATATTTAATACAGAATTTAAATGCAATTTTGTTCACATCTAACCAGCAACGGATCCAGAAGTACTCAAAGGGGCTAACTCAAAAATAGTTGAATAATTAATAAGTACCTTTTATTAACGCGTGCACGACCGATTGCATTGCGGACGATCCGACAAACCTATTTGTCATTATAAATGCATTTAAAAACAACGTTTTGATGTTCGAACAAATACATTTTAATTTCATTTTATGTCGATGGAAGAGCTTAAGCCCCTGTAGTTCTCCCCTTGGATCCGCCACTGCATCTAATATTCTTTTAACTTTCTTTCATTATCCAAAATAAATACCTAAAGAAAGACTTAATCTTTTACAGAAGCTCAATAATAAAAATTTCACAAAGTTACAGAGATCCAGAACAATTTTATTCAAATATAATTCTAGTTTAGCACTAAAAACACCAATCATTATACTCTTCAACAGAATTTTCAGATTGCCACTCAGTAAGCACTGAAATCAAAAACATTATCAAAGTAGAGCTTTTGAATCTGTTAACAACCTTCGTACCGTTTTACATCTTTAAAGAAAGTCAAGTTTATATATAGTAGCCTTTCCCGTTCTTGAACTAGGACAGGCAATCCAAATTAATATTCTAGTGTATTTTTGCATTAATTCTGAAATGAATAAAAATTCTTTTGGGAGAATAGGTAACTTTAATTCTCAAATAGTTATTCAGTCTTACTGAATGATAGTCCAATCATTAGACAAAATATTATTATAATAATAATAAATTCTGAATGCGGGATTGGAGAGAGACTTATTCGGTCGAATAAGTAAGCAAATTAATCGCCAAACTAGTGACAGAAAAACGATCGATCAAAAGACATAGGGACGAAAGCAACGACTAAAAATAACGTGCAAAGAGTAAACTTCGAATTCGTTATACACTGGATGCGTTATATTTTAAGTCATAACTTCACTTTATTCAGGAAACGTCTTTAATAAGTTACTATAAATATCATAACGGACAAATATCACTCTTCCAAGAAACAGTAAGAATGATATATTTCCCAATATTGTTCCAAGTTAAAAAAAAAACGGAGACAAAGAAAACAATTTCTCTGGCGATTCGTAATGAAACAATATATCGGAACGCAAAAGTATACCAGTGTCGACTGGAACACTTCCAAGTCACGCGATCGCCTCCAAAGGTTTCGCCAAAGCATTCATTAATGAAAATCTATAGAAGTAAAGATAGATGGACGACATCCGCTACATCCGAAATAAGGTTCCGGCACGAAACGGTCAATGTAAGCAAGCCACTAGCCTAGCTATAATTGCAAATGCTAGTTTAGAACCCCTGCGAAGCCAAGCACTACTTTCCCTAACCTCCCAAAGATTTAACCCATTTCATCCTTGGACTCGTCTATCCTCTATTCGTGTCTTCTCGGTTAACCGCCCTCACCGACTCTTCTAATTTTACACGCTTCGGGAGCAGCGCCCCGCATTTCCCTTCTGACAAAAACACCCTCTACGCACCCGACGACCTCTAAACTGTCTTTTAACGCCCAGCCAATCTCCGTAAAAGGGAAAGAAAAAAGGCGCACACCCTTGACTCGGACATTGGATTCACCCATCAAATGAATGAACTTAAGGACATGGAAGTGGTCCTAAGAGACAAGAAAATCAACAAAGATACTCGAAGAGGAACTTGTCGTTGTATGACATCGGAGCCACGTGGCCAACATTCACTAACTTCTATTTATTATTCTCAGAATCTGTAAACATATTACAGATTCCAAAAAGGATAAACACGAATTCTCCTAGTAATCGGAAACGGATGCCAGCACGCGTCAGAGACCCATCCCTTCGAAAGAATTAAGATACTGCTCTCATCAATTTTTATTAAGACATGCCATGTTCGCATCGACTCTATAGATCTAGTCCTCCTATATTTTTTTCTCGCGTGATGCTAACGTCCCAAATGGGAATCCTACTTACGTGAAACGTGACCGGAAGGTCTCTCGTCCGTCCCCCGACCGGATTCGGAGCATCGATCCTAACGCGCGGCCTGCATCGCGACCTCCCCGGTTCCGTTCCGCTATTGGACCGAGGCGGGGGTGACGTCATTCCACCGCAGTCGCGTCGCTACACACTAACGTCCGAAAGGACCGCGAAAAAAAGAGGTAGATCGGATACGGATAAGGTTCGCCCCCATAGACGGTTCGGGGGAAGTAAGACCAGG